CCACAACACAAAAGTAAGGGTATCGGAGCCTTTTCCAGTTGTGAAATATCACTCTAGAACATCTGGTCACTTTTAAGGACAATCGGGCTAACTCAGATTTTGGGGGTTTCCAGAAATCTTGACCTGCACCAAAAGTGGGCATTGTCCTACCTATAGGAGAAGTTTGGTTTCATTGGTGTGTATGTTTGTTTGGTTACAGAGAAAACTCCTTGTCTTTTAAAGAAACTAAACCAGGGGCAAACCCCTTGTGTTTAAAAGTGACCATCGGTACTCCGACAGCTGTGTGTGTTGTTTACTTTGGTCTGTTTTGTTTATTTTGATCTGATTTCCCCCCCCCCCCCACAGTCCCTGAAGTGAGTGAATACACGGCTACAGATTTCACGACAGAGTGGTCTGGCAGCAAGAACACCCTGTCGTCTTTCCCAGTGACTGTGTGTTTGTCTTGTCTCAAAGATTTGAACAGCAGACAGGGAAGTTTGACGGAAGTCGTTCTCGCCGTCTGTAAGAATAAGTGTGGACGCTCTGGGGCAGGTGAGCAACTCCTGTCTTGAAAAGTGAAGTTTTGGGAACAGAATTTTGTCCTGTCTTGAAAAGTGAAAAGTTTTGGGAAAAGAATTCTTTCCTGTCTTGAAAAGTGAAGAGTTTTGGGAAAGAATTCTTTCCTGTCTTGAAAAGTGAAAAGTTTTGGGAAAAGAATTCTTTCTGTTAAGTAAGGCTGTTAGGGCTGACAACCAAAAGGAGAGGGTGGTTGGCGGGTTCTCTGGTGTGGTTTGCTCCTTCTTTCCTGTCAAACATCTATTGTCCTGATCTCTTCTTCTTTTTTGTGTTTGTTATTCTCTTGTATTAAACCTGTAATCTTCGGCACTTATATGACCTTATTGTGTTGCAAGTGCCGTAAAACTCACACTAGAACTAAACAACCAAAAGGTCATGGGTTCAAATCCCTCCAGGGGCCCAATGTTGTGTCCTTTGGAAAGGCACTTTGCAAATAGTTTTCTCACTTCTTTCAGGTGAGAATGGATACCGGAAGATCTTGTCAGTATGTTAGTATTTGAGAACTTAATCGACTACTTGCACCGTAAGCTTCCAGGATCTTCTTTCAACACT